GCTTTATGCAGCCTGTATAAAACCACCAGCTATATTTGGATGCCAGAACCTTTATAGTTGATGAGGTATGTGGAGCAAAAAGAACCACAGGTTGCTTTTCAAATATCAGGTAGCATCAGTGTTGCTGCTACAGGATGCAGATGTCTACAACAATCTCCTTGCAGAGCATGGAGTGCGGAGAGCTAAAGGCATCCTCCTCTGCGGAACATAAAGACTCTGGCTCTGCATGAACGGTCAGATCTGCTCAGTCAAAACCCAGCAAGAGGCAGGACAAAAGGCTTCTGGAGTCAGCCAAAAAAGAGCTCAGTAGAATCACACCGTGGAACAGCTGGTGCATGATTTGTCTCCTTTGCTTCCCCAGCATTTCTTCGAGGGGGTGAAAGCCCGCGTGGCTCAAGGAGTGAAAGAAGAGGAAGTGAGTTTCCAGCTGGCATACAGCAAGCAGGAGCTGCGGAAGGTGATAGAAAAGTACCCTGGCAAGGAGGTGAAGAGAGCTCTGGATACTCTCTACAGGAAGATTTACAAGTATCTCTCCCCCGAGGAAAACCTCCTGCCGGTAAATATGGCCTGGGCATCGCTCACAGGGTGCAATGCAGTGGTAGCTTCATGTGTTTTGGGGGCCAAGCTTGCCAGGCAACAATAAATGGCAGAGGGAAGGGGACCTCCTAGCTTCATCTCTCTGACCATCACTCCCACTGCATTGTCTCCCTCTTCATGCCCATTGTTTCATCTCCTCTCTCTCTCTCTCTCCTCAAACCACCCTGTCTTATTTCTCTCCTCCCTCTTCCCAGTGACCTGTCTCTGCTCCCTGCTTCTCTTAGTAGTTTGAAAATTAGTGGGAATTCCTTTATCTCCGCTCCCTTAGAGGGAACTCTTACTAGGCAACTTCTGGGGCCTAGAGCCCAGTTCCTCAAAGGTATTTAAGCACCCAACATTCATTGATTTCAGTGGGAGTTGGGTTCCTAAGTGCCTTTGAGGATGTGAGCCTAGAAGCTCCGAGGTCAGCCCCATGCATGTCCCTTCCTCTTGGGCTCGTGGTTGCACTTGTGCAGCAGGCGGTGAAGACCATGTGCCTCTGTGGGTGTGCATGGTTACGTTGCACTGCAGCAAGCCCCTGAGGGGAGCAGGATAGGATGCTCCCAGTAAGAGGGGTTATTGACTCCAAGTGTTTTACCTGCAGGTGGTCTGGCGAGCCATGGAACAGGAGTTCATACAGCAGTACCGAGAGTTCGAGCACCTGATCCAGCGCTGCTACCCAGGGTCAGGGATCACAATGGACTTCACCATGGAGGACTTGCTGAACTATTTCATCACCATCACTCAGTCTAGCATGTGAAAGCAATCCTTGCTGGCTAGGCGCGTGGTGACAACAGCTCCTGCTGGTGCCAAGAAAGCTCCATCGGCAGCCAAGGAGCCAAAATGACCATGTGGAAATTTATTCTGGACTGACATTTGGCACAAGAGTTCTCAGCCTAGGTTTAACCCAATATGGGGATCTACTGAATTAAAGGGGAACTTTCTCAGTCATCAGCCTAAAAATTGGCCTTCCCTGAGAGGGAAGCTTTGGGATTCCTTTTCCCCCAATGGAGCCATGCACAGCTGATAATGCTGGGTTTCTGTGACTCTCAAGGTGAGTACTGTCACCTCCTACAGCACTGCTCTGTAACGTCCTGTCAGAGTGAGCGATCATAGAGCAACCCATGCTCATTAGACCCTTTCTGAGCACGCCCTTCAGCTTCTTTATGCTGAGTTACACAGCATTGATCAGATGGGGGAGAGAAGCATGATATATTTGCCACTCTGAACTTATGAATTTATAGGAGGGTCCAAGTGGGAATGTAATTTTTGGCCACTTTGACTAATTCCGGTTCATCTCTCTTCCGCGTTCAACATACCCGGTTTTAAATAAAACTAGAGATGGATCCACAGTTAACAATTTGGGTCTGGATTTCAAATGCCCCAAAATGCCAGGGAGTCCAGATCTAGGGGATTGGAGCAGCCCATTGTAAAACTAAGGATCATTTGTAAAATCTGGATATGGGTTTGGATTTCCAACACCCCTAATGTTTATGGTTGTTTGGGTTTGAGGTTTTGGTTTAGGTCTGCCTATACAAAGCACAAAGTTTGTTTCCTTTCCATAGCTCAGCGTCTCCCACAATTCTGGTATGAATGGGCTATTCTCCTTCTGTCTGCAGTTTCCACAGGCGCTTCAAAGCTGCAGCAGAGCCTGTGCTGGTCATGTCCCTTTCTCCTGCTTCCGGCCAGCTCTTTGGTTTCCGCAGCAGCGGGCAAATGGTGGTTCACTTCTCTCCTGTCCCTTTCTTTTAGATGTATCTGTAGCCATTTTGATGGCAGTTATAGTATTTGTATTTATTTTCAAGTCTCCTCACCTCCTCCCAGTCAGGATCTAAGCAGAACTGGGGTCAGAGACACCCGGATCGGCCTCAGAGTCCAAAACCAGAGCAGCCCATTCTCTCTTTGATATGTCTGAAATGAACCATCTCTCTGCTCACCAAGATAATTTCCACAGGCTTGCCCAATAGCAGCTGGACATGCCATAAGGGGTGGTTCTTGTTCCTTCCTTTGGCTGCATTGAAACAATTGGATCCATGCTTATGAATGACGCACTGCAACATAAAGGGCTTTCCATCGCACCTGTATGCATGGTGTTAGCCATCTCAGATGTTGCTTAATCTATCAATTCTGCTGTACAAAGAGTTTAAAAATAAGAGTTATTTTATGTGACGTTGTTATAAATGTTTCATTTCCTAGGATGGGGCAAAAACTCTTATGCAACCTGGAGCAATTTCCCAGGGATCTTTCCACTCTTACCTAATTTAGCTTGTCTGCCCATTGACAGTATCACAAGACAATAAAAGGCTTTCAGTGTTGGCCTCATTGCTTTGACCTGTTCTTGTATCCCAGCGTGGTCACCTTGTGTTGTATGGGATGTCAACTCAGGCACGGGGACTGGGATGAATCTGAAGCTCTTGGCTCAATACAAAGTAAAATCTTTTTTAAAAACCCTACCAAATTTTGTATGAATTTGGTGATTGAAAAAGACCTGTTCTTTCCCCCACTGAAGGGCATGCGGGCTCTGCCATTGATTTCAGAGGGAGCAGGCCCAAAGACGGAAAAGGACAGCTGTAAAGCCTGGCATATCGTGGGCAGGGGTTATGCTAGTTTCCTCCCAACAGCTACACCTCATCCAGGCATGCAGCACTCTCCTTTCTATTCTAGGCCTGAGCTTGTGCTAAGCTGAGACTTCCTCTTGGGACAAACTGCAAGGTGGTGTTGTGAGAGGAACCAGTATCCACACAGCTCTAAAATGCTAACACAACTATACACAAAATCATCCTCCACCTTCAGCTAGATTTCAGCCCTGATCCAACAGAGTCCAGATTTCCTGAGCTCCAGGGCACATTGCCAGGCCTAGCTGTTTTCCCAGACTGTCCTTGATGACTTAGGTTGTCGAGATATGAGTGGGTGGAAGGAGGGGTCTTTGTGGGAGGTAGGAAGTTCATCCTGGATAGTGGTGCATCTGAATGTTGTGCTTTTCAGAAGGTGCTTAGCTGTTTAGACAGGCACTTCCAAAGCATTGGAATAGATAAGTACCTTGGAATTCTGCTCTGTAAGGATGAAGGGATAATGCACCAGTCACTGGCATCACCCAGTCCCTGCGAATCTGGTTATTATACATGTGTGCTAGGCACTCTACAGTCAAAGGAAAAGGCAAGGTCTAGGCAGTTCACCATTTTCCTCCGGTTTAAAAGTTCTCTCTCCTAGTCATAACAGTATCGTCTAAGAGGTAAAAAGAAAAGGAGTACTTGTGGCACCTTAGAGACTAACCAATTTATTTGAGCATAAGCTTTCGTGAGCTACAGCTCACTTCATCAGATGCATCATTAATGAGCAAGCCCTAAATCTTCTGCAGGGATGTAGCAGCTCATAATGTTGTTCTCTGTTGGTTTTACAAAACATCTTTCACATGTAGCAGGTGCTGAAGAACCAAACTATCAAAGAAGATGACAAGTGCAGGACGTGAGACCAGCAGTAACTGGGTGGAAGTGCAGGGTTTTAAGTCTGACCTTTAAAAGGCTAACAGAGTCAGTGGCATGAAGGTCAAATGGGAGCGCATTCTGCCAGCTTCGGGTGAGCGAAGAGAAGCCCAGAGAACTGATGAGCTGAGAAAGTTGAAAATAGCATCTCAGGCATGGCACACAAGTTTGTCGCTCCAGTTTTAGGCAGGGGTAGTTCCACTGACATCATTGGCATGGAGCTGGAGTTACGCCATGATGAACCATGAGCTCAGAGGGCAGGGAGAGCAGCATGGATCAAATCACACAGATAAGGCAGAGCCAGAGAGTGGAGAATCTTGAACAAAGTGGAGAAAAGTCTAGAGGTTCTACTCAGGTTAATCGGTAGCCAGTGTGGCTGCTTGGAGAGGGATCCTGAAGTCCAGGGGACATGGATGCCACACCCAGAAACTCTAAACTCAGTAGTACTCACTCAGGCTTTGTTGAAGCCCTTTTAGCACTGCCACTGGGAACGTCTGGAACTCTACAGTGGACAGGACATCAGCAAGTACCACCATGAACCTGCTTGACTGTGCATAATTGCAGGGATTGGGCAATTCCTTCCCACCTCATTGATGCTCTAGTGTCCCTGGGGGGCACTGTGTGTGCACACAGCCTGATGGGGCAATATGGCCTTTGCCTGTCTCAGAGGCACAGAGCGCCCCCTGGAGGCAGGGAAGGAGTAGGATGCACCTGGTGATTCCCAGGCAGGCATATCCTGCCCAGCTGGGGTAAGCCCAAGAACTACAGCTGTGTGCCCCAGTTTCTGTTTTCCGGGAGCGCCCTGTAGCCTGTGTTATTTCACAGGGAGCCTGTATTCTTTATTTTAGAAGCAAGTGTGTGTTACACATAAAGCTGGGGAAATGGCTGAGATCTTTGACCCCAACCTGGTCAGCTGTTTTATGCGAACAGAAACCAAGGTCTTCACGGAGGGGAGGGAGCAGCTTTCAGGAGTCGGGCTTTTATTTCTACTCGCTCTGTCTCTTTTCCTTGGGAACTCTGCTCCCAGCACAGCTCAGCTCTGGGGACCAAGAAGTGGTTAGCTGGAGGGGACAGTGTTCTTTCAGGCTGTTTTGCTGAGCTTGCCTGTCTTCACTGCGTACAGGTACTCTGCCTTTTTTTCCCTACCAACATTTCACTCATGTTCATTTGCTGAGAGCAGACACTTAAATATTAACTCTAGAGGCGCAGACAGTGACTCTGCAAATGGTTCTGAGGCTAGGGCTGGGGGGAAGATTGCAGAGACAAGCTGTGTCTTCAGACAGCAAACATCCTGAGTGCTTGCTCTACTGAAAATCAGCTCTTGCAAACACCAGAAAGCAAAGCCAATGTATCAGGATTCTGAGTGCTACATACGCAGGTCCACAGGCATGCATGGGACTTTGCAGAGACTGCATTCAATCTAAAGGGTGTTTGATTCAGCATTTTCAAATGCCAGCTCAAGGAAGTGCCGGTGAATTTTTAACGGCTGTGTCACACAGCTTTTCACTGTAATTGGTGCAAACAGCAGGAGAGCCACAGATCTGGATAATTCTGAAGCCTTGCGTATGTTATTTGGGAAATTCTTTCTGCCTTTGTAACTCTGGTGACCTCGGGATATCGCCTCCAAATCCCAGACTGTGACTTTGACATGAACAAAGAGGAGACTTGCCCAGGTTTGCCTTCTGGGAATCTGGGCCAGGTTTTACAGTCAGCTCACGCCAGGCTGGGCAGGACTTGGAAACCTTATCTATGCTATACAGGGCTGCTACTCTGAAACCTGTCTATACTATCATTTTTCTTAAACTCAACTCACTGCTGGAGCTGCACCAGTGGGAGGGCTAGCATAGGTGGGCTACCGGGACTTTTACTATGGTGCAGGATAACCTTGAGACATGCCAGTGTACTTATAAAACGGGAGTTCAGTGAGTGTGTATAAAGAGTCACATACTGCATAAACGATCAATATAGTTCATATGGCAATTACATCATCCCCTATTGTGTCTCAATGCCTTGATTTATTTATTTCATGGCTGGCCCCAGATAAAAAGTTATGGGATTATTGGTGGTGTTTTTGTCACTGTGTAATGGAAAGGGCTGGGAGGGTTTACTTTCCCCCATTGTTGTTTTTTTTAACCTTAGAAAAATCAGAAGTGTCGTGTCTACTGCATGTTGGTTTTGCTGGGGGACTAGTTGAGGGCCTCAGAGAAGAGGATTATGACTTGTGTCAGAACTTAATTCAAGTGTTGGACCTTTAACAAAGAGCACTTTTTTCCTGACTGTTAATTGAGTGTTTGAGTTAAACAGATATAAACACAAAGAGTTTAGCATTTTTAATTAAATCTATTTCCCCTTTTGATTAAAGAGGTTTTGCTTATATTTTATGGACGCTGGCATACTCTTCCTGGTTCTTCAGTGTTACATAGAGTCTTCCACACTAGACAAGACCTGAATATCTCCTGTAAAATCAATCAGAAAATGAAATGAAAACCTCTCAAATCCCCAAAAGTGCTATTTTCCTTCTGCAGGTTGACTCAGAAGCATTCCCAGTCACCGGAGAAACAAACATTTTGCTTTACTGAGTCAAGTAACTTAAATCTGCTGTTAATCTGTTTTTCTCTAAGCGTAATAGGGAGCCCTGTGCTGTAGGGCAGTGGTTCACAACCTTTTTGAGCTCAGAAGCCATTTGTAAATGGCCTGTCTCTGGTGTGCTAATGCGCCTTTGTCTCTGAGAAAATAGTTAGTGGGCGTTACCAAGAACTACAACATATTTCAGTAACAATCATATAGCGAAATCTCATAATTTTACATGCAGTGAGTTTACACACATTTCAATGGGATGGTAATATTCAGCAGATTATGAGTTTGCAAATGATACCTCAGAAGGCATACTTTGTACAAAATATATCATAACCTTACAAAAGTGGTGAACATGGTGTACAGGGGGTCATATGCGGGACAGGGTATCATCGGGGGTTCCCAGTAGGAAGAGCAGAGTTTCAGTCCACTTGGAAAGGCTGAGGTGGCAGAAGGACAGAAGAAGACTAATAGAGAGTCCAGGCATGGTTGAAGGCAATGAGAGGTGTTAACAGATTTGCCCGTGACTTTGGGGTACACTTATTTATTAGGGTTACTCTTTGGGAGGGGAGGTGCCGTAATTCTATCAATGTACTGCTTGTGTCACTTGTGTGTTCATATAGAGCTCTACTTCTCCCTTCTGCAAGTCCCCTCCCAATGGAGCTATCCTGCAGGACCTAGGTTCCCCAGGGCCGGGTTCCTCCAGCCCCAGAATCAGATGAACACACACACACATGAACAGAGCCCGTCTGAGCAGACTGGGTGAATCAGCACTTCCAAGCTGACCCCTTATATGCCCCTGGACTCAGCAGCCTGGGTCAAGTGGCACTTCCAAGATGCCACCCTCATATGTCCCAGGTTCCGCACGTCCCTATCCCCACTTTCACGTTACAATTGTTCCGGAAGTAACTCACTGGATGAGCAAACCCCACAGGAGTTTTGGGCACTACAGGGATCTTTAGCTTAGGTAAGAAGAGAGTTGCTGCAGAGTAAATGGGGAAGCCAAAAACACAAGAGAGAGAGGGAGAGAGAGGGAAAGCAACCAGCTGAACCATAAAAGTTATTTATTGCCAGGTAATAACCATCCAAAGAGAGCCAAACAAACAAAACAGTTACAATATTAAATCTAGCTTAAATTTTATTACAAAAGTCAGGTTTAGAACACTATAACTGATCACACAAGCCTGGATTAGAAAGCTATACCTAGAGTAGAAAAAAAGCAGAGAGAGAGAGAGTTGGGTTCTCACCACTCCGTGAAGCTTGAACTGGTCGGGGTCCCCAGGTGGTGGTGGTATCTGAGAGTCCAGAGTGCTGGAGACAGGCAGAGCCCCCAGCACAATCAGTCAGGAGAAGATGAAGTCCCAACGGAACTGATGCAGAGTTTGGATCTAGGCATCAGAACCCTTACTTGCGTGTGAGTAGGGATTTTTGTAGGGAAACAATAATGGTTCAAGGGAGAACACTATGTTTGTTTATGGGTAAACTGATGGCTCAAGGGAGTATACCAAAGTTGTTTTGCTCAGGCTAGACCAGTGGTTTTCAAAGTTCGGGCCGCGACCCAGTACTGGGTCATGGAATGCAAGGCACTGGATCACCTTGCTCTGCACCCAGGGACCCTGGCAGCTGGCCAGTAAAAACCAGTAGTAAAACCAGTAGTAAAACTAGTAGTCCCTACCCAGAAGCAGCCAGCAGCAGGTCCAGCTCATAGGCAGGGGGACCACAGGGCTCTGTGCACTGCCCCCGCCCTGAGCACCAGCTTCACACTCTTCCTGCACCCCAACCCCCTCATCCCCGGTCCCACCCCAGAGCCCACACCCCCAGCCCAGAGCCCTGACCCCCTCCCACACCCCAGCCCCCTGCTCCAGCCCTGAACCCCCTTCCACACCTAACCCCTCATCCTCAGCTCCGTTGGGTCACAGGCATCAACAATTTTCTTCAACTGGGTCGCCAGAAAAAAAGTTTGAAAACCACTGAGCTAGACAATAGGAACTGCTCATTCCTGGCTATGGGCGGTGTTCTTTCAAGGGAGCTCACAATGCAATTAGGCAGCTTCAGTATTTTGGATACCAATAAAGGATTTATTACTAGAATTGGTCTGATAACTACTGAGCTGGGTGTGTGCAGGCATGGGTTCATTAACATCTGGAGCAGAGATCCCCCATCATGCAGTGCTTCCCTGCTTTTCTGGTCCCAGAGTTCCGTGCGGTTCTTGCCTTAGAATCTCTGTTCTCCATTCTGTATGCTAATGGAGATGCCTCCATGTCCCATCTTCGATGCAAATGAGGCTAGGGGAGCTTTCTTTATCCTGTCACCCTTGTCCCAGAGGTTTAGGTGTGTCTCCCACTGCCTTTTCATTGCTCTTTGTAAGTCTTTCTTCTGATCGGTTTCGGTTCAAGCAGAGGCTGGGGGTGGGGGGCAGGTCCTTTGTGAGTCAGACAGGCTGGGTACTGTGCCCTGGTTCCCCAAGAACACAGAGCTGACAGGTAACATGGGTGGATGTGGGGCAAGGGAAGAGACGTCTTGAACTTTCATGACTGCTTGCACTGGGGTGAGAAATGGACTATATGGTTTGGATTTGTGTTATGTACTGCATTGCACAAGGCTTTTATAACAAACTAACCCAAAGGAGGGTATTACAGTGTCAAGAGAGCCTGAAGTGAAGTTATTGGGTTAGCTGAGAGAGGAAACTGAGGCAGACACAGTTGTAGTACCACAGCCTGCCTCAGGAGCGTGCTCCAGGCAGGATTGCCTTATGACTGTATCATATGTTGATAGGGTAAGTGTCAGCCATCCCATCTGCCCATGTTCCTAGCCCTCACTCACTGGCTGATTCTTCTAGGGACTGACTCTAAGTCCATTGACATCAATGGAAAGTCTCTCATTAATTTCAGTAGGCTTTGGATCGGGCATCACGAGACAGGTGGGTCTTGAGGAAGCATCTGAAGGAGGAGAACATATTTTTCATGTGCCAGACACAGGCCGAAAGAAAACCAACTTTGGCTTCTGCTTCCATTTAATTAGCCCCATGTCCCCAGCCAGCCCAACTAGGAAATGACCTGGTAGCTTGTCCCTGCATCTCACTAAACTTATTTCTACTCCGTTTTAGTCTCTGGTTCCTGGCTTTCAGATGATGTCCTGGCAGGAGAAGCGCGAGGGCCCCTTTCCATGTCTTATCCAGCGACTGGATCATCTGGTGCTGACTGTGAAGAACATTGAGGACACCGTAGGCTTTTATTCCAAAGTCCTGGGTATGGAAGTGGTCACTTTCAAGGTAATCTGAGGAGCAGGACGGAGCTGGGATATGAAAAGTCCTGTGTTCTAGTCCTGCTTCTGCCACTAACTTATTGCGTCACTGTAACCAAGGCATCTCTATTTTCCCCATCTGTAGAGTGAGGATTGTAGGAACTGTCAGCCCATGGCCCATCTGACTGAGTGTCCTGTCTCTGACATAAGTCAGCAGCAGCTTAGTCAGAGGCAGGTACAGAAGACCCTACAGCAGGAAATAATGGAAGAACCTGCCCCTAGAGCAGAGGTTCCCAAACTTTTCTTATTGCATCTACCAGCTGCCCGCATACCCCTGCCCTTCTGCTCACTGACACTTGAAATGTTCTTCTTTAACACTACCTGTCTTTAGCCATCTCTCTATATTTCACTGTTACATACAGTGAATACAGTATATCATAGTTATAGTGTGATGTACACAGCTGAAAAAAAAAAAAAAAACCCTGACTAACTTCTGAGCTCAGTTAGACCGGACAGTTGCTGGGCAACTGAACCCACGGAGTACGTGATTGGAGGTGAGGGCTCTGTACATCAGCGACGCTGTGTATCTGTTCTCATTGGTACATCTTGAAGTAAATTAACTACCGTATTGTACATAACAAATTCCCACAGAGTTTTAAAACTTTGTCTGAGTAGCCTATTAGGACAATGCAATAAATAAAATAATGAATAAATAAAATCCACCATTACACAATTTCTCCTGTGTATTCCCCCCAGTTCTAGAGCAGCTTGCAGAGCTTTGAAGTTAGACATTTCAGCAAAGTTTCAAATTTGGACCAAAAAACTGAAATCCATTTTTGTTTGTTTGTTTAAATTCACTTTTTTTAAAAACCAGCTTGACCTCACAGAGCCACTGGGAGGGCTGGTTAGTTCCTGGGTGACATTTCCAAAGACATGTGTAGCAGCAGTTAGGCACCAAACTGTCATTTGGGCCTTTGAAAGTCTCCCTCTCCTCCCATGTCTGTAAAGCTATAGCAGTGCTAAGATCTCACTCCTGTGTCCCTTGTTGTGCTATGGAACAGAAGTTCCACTTGCTTTCCACAAGGGGGTGACATTGAGTACAGAAATGGAACACTCCTCCTACCTGTCAAAGGAGACTTTTCCTGTTCTCTCAGAGCAGTATCCCTGGTGGCTCACTCCCCAGCCCAGGGTTTTTCTTGCAATCCTGGCATTCAGAGAGGGAGGTCTCTGTGTGGCAGTACATTAATCCTCTCCTTCCCTTGGTGACAGGGCAACCGGAAAGCACTACGTTTTGGGAACCAAAAGTTTAACCTCCACGAGGCTGGGAAGGAGTTTGAACCCAAGGCTCACAGACCAGTTCCTGGTTCCATAGACGTCTGCCTGATCACAGACACCTCGCTAGACCAGCTAGTGGGACACCTGAAGGTTGGGCAAACTGTGTTTCACCCAAGTGGCCACATGTCTCATGGGATACTGCCATGGGCCTGATGTGAATGAATAAACCCAGAGGTGTGGTAGGGTAAGGGCTAGCGAACTTCCCTGTCATCTTGGAGACCTGGTGCCCAATTCAGCTTGTGCTTACAGCAGTGTAAATCAGGAGTAATTCCACTCAGATCAATGGGGTTGTAAGGAAGAGGAGAACCAGACACCTGGAGTTCAGTGTGTGAGCGTGAATCTCCTGGCTTTGTACTGCTCTATATCACAAAACCTCAAATTTGCAATCTCTGTATAACATTTGAAACATGTTACATTTGAAAATCTCTGTATAACAGGTTCAGCGCTGGGGTAGCAGGACGTTTGGGGGCAGGGCAGGGTCTATGGGGCAGGATTGAGGGGCATCATCAGAACTGTGCGTGGGAACCCCAGGCCTGGAATAGCAGATGGAGCTGCAGGTCAGCAGCAGAGACGTGCCTGGGGAACCCCAGACTGGAATAGCTGGGGGAGCTGTGAGACAGAATTGAAAGGCATCCGCAAAGCTGTGGTGAAGGGAGACTAAGGGCAGGACTAGAACAGTGGTGCGTATTTCAGGTCAGGGATGAGGTAAGGTGGCAGAGCCATAGAGAACCCCCAGGCCTGGGAAAGAAGAACCCAGTACCTGCCAAAATATCACTGGCCAGTGTTGTTTATTGCTTGCCTTCAGAACACCAAACCCATCACCTACTAGTCTATGTAATTGGCCCCTTCCTTCTGTCCATACACCATATGTCCAGCCCCATCCACCCACAATGCTTTGCAGTCCACCCTAGCTCAGTTGTGTGTCTCTTTATCTTCTCTGCTCGACAGCACAAGGAAGTCATAAGGAACAAGGAGTCACATCAGCAGTGCTGTGCTGTATGGATCACTGTCAGGGGCAACTGACGGCCTAGCCGGTTGCGCAGGTCTGCAGAGCATTTGCCACTGAACTCAAGGGGATTCTCTTCATTAGGGGTCCAAAGTCCATGGAAGTCACTCAGAGCAGAGAGCACATGAGCTTGAGCACATGAGTAAGATGAATTTACATGTTCTCAAGGAAGTCACCATATGGAACTGGAGATTGGGAGATTTCAGATTTTCTTACTATCCAGCATGAGATCTGTCACCCAGCCACCCACCTGGGAAATCCAAGACCCTACTCTAATCCAGTATGGGATCTAATCTAAGCAGTATGGGAGGGGCAGTTATACCTGTGTCTTCTTGAAGGTCTATTTCATTACCTGTGTGGTGACAGGTTTCAGAGTGGTAGCTGTGTTAGTCTGTATCAGCAAAAACAATGAGGAGTGGGTTTTAGCCCACGAAAGTTTATGCCCAAATAAATGTGTTAGTCTCTAAGGTGCCACAAGTCCTCCTCGTTACCTGTGTGACTCTCTGCTTCCTACACCCACACCCCCTGCCCATGGACAGATAAACCCAGGGACTTGGCAGAATAAGGGGTTAATGCAATAATAGCCTTAATAGAGACCTGGAGTCAAAGCCTGGCTTAGCTCACCAGTGAACCTGAATCTATGGGTTGTGTCCTGTTCCCCTTTCTAGTGCTGAATGCTGAACAGTTTGTCTGCCAGGAGGTGCAGCCATCGAGTGCCACAGGCTGGGATCACAGGGCTGAAGAGCAGCTAGCGCCCTGCTTGGCAACACCTAGTGCTTTTCTAGGTCCTCTTCACCATCTGCCCCTCTCCTTGGGAAATGCACGGCAGCACTGTTAAATCAGAACAACCATGGCCAGAGAGGTGCTTGGACAATGGCTCCACCATCTGCCTGGGGGCAGGGATGGGGGGGAAGGAGGGAGGACTGGGAGCAAGCCCCTTAGAAAACCATTGTTAATGCTGAAAACCAAACATACCTTCCCTCTCCTTCCAGGCCTGTGGTGTGACTATTGAAGAAGGCCCAGTGCCCAGAACCGGTGCCATTGGGCCAATCACATCCATCTACTTCCGAGACCCTGATGAAAACCTGATTGAGGTTTCCAACTACCGCACTGACTTGGCTGTCGACAGAGTGAAGCATTAGTCACACTCCTTTTTCCATCACCCCCCAACCCCCTCAACACTAGAGGCAAGCAGAGGAGGCCGTGATTTTGCTTTGTTCATTTGCAATGTATTGTAGGATGGGGTTTGGGGTTTGCAAACTGAGAACACATCAGCTTGTGTCTATGTCCATTCTGCCAGGCTCCTGATATAGTGGGACATACCAGGCTTCATCCTCAAAGGAAACCTGCACAACACATGGGACCTTAAATTCATAACTCTGCTAGACACTGAAAAATCAGGGCTGAACAGAGACACTGTATTTATGGCTTATTACAACAATCTGCTACCCATTAACCCCCCCCCCACACACACACACACACACTCTTTGTCCTATGACTGCAGAGGTGTTAACGGGCCACTCTATCTTGAAAGGTCCCTTGCAATATGTGCTAACTACTTATGCTAAACAATCTGTTCCACTGTTCATTTTGCTGTGAAGCTGGGAGCACCTTTCTCAGCCCTGAAGAAGAGCTCTGGGTGGCTTGGCAGCCTGTCTCTCCCACCAACAGAAGTTTTCCTAGATGGTAAATTCTCTGGGACAGGGACCATCTTTTTGTTCTGTGTTTGTACAGCACCTAGTGCAGTGGGTCCTGATCCACGAATGGTGCTTTGAGGCACTAATGGAGTGCAACTAATAAAGCAATAATCATTAATAATAAGTAGGGCCCCACCAAATTCATGGTCCATTTTGGTCAGTTTCACAGCCATAGGATTTTAAAAATCGCAAATTTCATGATTTCAGCTATTTCAATCTGAAATTTCATGGTGTTGTAATTGTAGGGGTCCTGACCCGAAAAGGAGTTGTGGGAAGGGGGGGGGTCACAAGGTTATTGTAGGGGGTGTTGCTGTACTTTTACCCTTTCTTCTGCGCTGCTGCTGGTGGCGGCGCTGCCTTGAGAGCTGGGCAGCTGGAGAGCGGCGGCTGCTGGCCGGGAGCCCAGCTCTGAAGGCAGTGTAGAAGTAAGGGTGGCAATACCATGACTCCCCCTCCCCCCCAAAAAAATAACCTTGTGACTCCCCTGCAATTCCCTTTTGGGTCAGGACCCCAATCTGAGAAATGCTGGTCTCCCCTGTGAAATCTGTATAGTATAGGGTAAAAGCACAGAAAAGACCAGATTTCACGGTGGGAGATCAGATTTCACGGTCCATGACTTGGTTTTCATGGCCATGAATTTAGTAGGTCCCTAATAATAAGGGCAAGAGTATAGGAAAATCAAGTATGAATCAACCACTAGATGGCAGCATTGCTTAATGTGGACTCTGAAAGTGACAATAGCTGCTGAGCTAGCTGGAGACCAGAATCAGCCCATCAGAGGAAATTATATACGGCCAGATCCTCTGTTGCTGTAATTTGATGTAGCTCCAAAGCAGGATCTGGCCCATTAACTGGTCTGCATGGCTCAGGATACGGGCTGGATGGACCTGGGATATGGAGCTTTTCCTCTTGGTTACTCTTTCAACTCCATCCCATTACTGAATGCTGTTTGGTTGTGTATATCGAATGCTTTGGTGGATCTCCGATCTGTTCCCTTCAGATGGGAGAGACTGCACGGAAAGTGTCCCTGAGACAGGAAACTATTGCTTCCTGCTGCTCAAATCCCCACAAGGTAAGAGAATCCCTCCCTGGAGGAGATTTACAGTGGCACATGGCAGTACAGAGATTGCATGCCAGACCGCCCTGGTTGGGAGACCAGGTTTCAAAGGGTAAGTAAGTGGCTGACTTGGTTGATATGTAGAGGCATGAAGGAGAAGGAGATAGGTGAAGCATGGAAAGGAGGGTGTTTGCTTCAAGCAGAGCAGTCTCTATTTAAAATAAAAAGGACTGGCAGTGGTAGCAGGGAAAGGAAGACCTGAGGATTGGGAAGAGCACAGAGAACGAGAGCGGGTGTTGGGGGAGGAGAACATAAACAAGGCCTCCAAGGATTGGCTGGGCCTCTCTTGCTGCCTGGGAGTGAGACACTGATAGAAAGTGCTCAGATCTCCCTGGTAGGACAAGAGCAGGGGCCTCAAACAAGTGTATGCTTAGTGACAGCCACTGCCACATGCAAAATCTGAGCCCCCAAGGCAAGATTTCAGGTTCAGAGGGAATCATCAGCCTTGTCAGGCTGAAAGGAAATTGCTAAAATTCTCATTTTGGCCTACCAAAAACAATTATGCCCAACTTGGCCTGTTCATTAGTCTCTGCTCGTGACAGGCTTGGTGCTGGAATAGCAGCAGGTGCCTGAGGCCAGGACCGAGGTGCATGGCAGCTTTTGGGGGGGAAGCACTTCAATGGTCAGGGTGGAGGTGCACTGGCAGAGCTGTGTGAGTGGAGCCCAGGGCTGGAAGAGCAGAGGGCGCTGCAGAGTACAGCTGTGTGGGAAGCTTGCATGTCCCCTCGCCAACCTCTGCCTGACTCTAGCCAGCACTAATGGTCCTTTTGTATGAGCATTAACTTCAGAGATAAGGTGAGCGAAGAAATACCGTTTATTGGACACTACTTCTGTTGGTGAAAGACACAAGCTTTCGAGCTCCACAGTACTCTTCTGCCTGTCTGGGAAAGGTAATCAGAGGGCATGCCTACATTACAAAGTTAAGTCGATGTAAGGCAGCTTATGTCGACCTAACTATGTAAGCAATGTGTACACATTACCATGTTCCTCCCGCCACTGTAACCAGGGGCAGTGAGTTGTATGGGCCCGTGGTGTCCGGGCTCCAACAAATTCAGGGCCCGGGGGGCCTGGCACCACCGATGTTCGGGGCCGGCCTGCCCCTGTGCGCCTCCCCGGAGCGTCCCTGCCTGCCATAGGCCGCGGGCAGCTGCCCCCTTCAGCTCTGCGCTGTGCTCCCTTGCCAGCTGCTGGGGGAGAGGCGCTGGGGGGCAGAGTGAGGCGGCTGCTGCGCCTGCAGAGGGAGGAGGGGAGGAGGTGCGTGGAAGCCACCCCCTCTCCCCCCCGGCAGGGGACTCAGAGGGGTTGAGGCTTATCCTGGCTGGACCTCCTGAGATGCAGCGGGGGGGGCCCTTGGGTGAGTGTTGTGCCTGGGGTGGGGGTGGGGAGGGGCCTCCTCCTCCCCCCCCAGAGCTCACTGCTGCCAGTGGGGAGAGGGCTGGGAGGAGTCCTCCTCTCTGGTCCCAGCCCTGGTGCAGCCTGCCTGCTGCACCCCAAACTCCTCATCTCTGGCTCAGATCCATGCCTCGCACCCCCTCCCACCCCCCAACCCTCTGTCCCAGCCCAGAGCCCGCACCCCTCCTGCACCCAAACTCCCTCCCAGAGCCTTAGGTGGGGTGGGGGTGGGGGGATGGGACTTGGACCCGTTCTGGGCACCACCAAAAATTATACAAACCTGCCACCCCTGACTGTAACTTGCCCGCTACGCCGGCCTAGTAAAGCCACCTCAGTGAGAGGCATAAGGCTTAGATGGACTTAGTTCAGGCGATGCAGTGTCTGTAAAGACACTGCGTTCCTTGAATTGCCCGTTGGCTGTCAGGGTGACTGACAGCAGGAGCTGTGAAACTGAGTGAGGGGCGGGCATTCCAGCTGTGAGCCCCAGCAGTACCGACAGCTGGAACCTCACTGCCTAGCACTGATGACCCAGGCTGTGGGCTTCCCACAGAGCTCCCAGCGGGAGCCCAGCTGCTCAATACACAGAAGTGTCACAGCTAAATACAATGTTAAGCATAAGGAGTTGCAAGAGACCATTCAAGATGGAGCAAGCAGTTAGCACCTCTGCAGTCATAGGACAAAGAGAGTTAGTGGATCACCAATTGTTGTAATGTGAGATATGTGTCTGTATTGAGTCCCTGCTTTTTGGTGTCCAGCAGAGTTAAGAATTTGACAGGTTTCAGAGTAGCAGCCGTGTTAGTCTGTATTCGCAAAAAGAAGAGGAGTGCTTGTGGCATCTTAGAGACTAACCAATTTATTTGAGCATAAGCTTTCGTGAGCTACAGCTCACTTCATCGGATAGCTTTCGTGAGCTACTGCTCACTTCGTCGGATGCATCCGACAAAGTGAGCTGTAGCTCACGAAAGCTTATGCTCAAATAAATTGGTTAGTCTCTAAGGTGCCACAAGTCCTCCTTTTCTTTTTAAGAATTTGACGGGTATTATTCCACACTGCAAACATTAACATCACACATATTCAAGAAATCGATCTAACATTATACACGTGCTGGTGTCGCACTGTAAGCCACTACTCACCTTTCATGTGGGTGGCTAAGCGAATGCACGTGGCTGTGTATTCCTTCTAAATCCAGCTTTTCACACAAGCTGGCCACGCCAGGCGTTGATGATGTAGCTTCTTATTTTATGGAGTTTTGCACATGGGAGCAGTTCTTGAGTTTGCCAGAAGAAGGCAATGTTGTCACCCACAAGGGCGCAAGTAAAAGCTACTTGGAGGTTGGAAAGACTTGCGAGATAGATGCAGTTAAAAATCATCTCTAAAACCCAAACAAAAAACGTAAAATGCTCAGATTGTTTGGTTTTCTTTCCTGCTGCTATCTATAAGAAAACCCTGAATGTATGAAGGTTGTGGAGAGACAACGTTTTAGTGAAATCGGAGTTTCAGCTAAACCAATGGCTGCTATTGATACAGATTCATAGATTTTAAGTTCAGAAGGAACCATTATGATAATCTGCTCCAACCTCCTGAATAGCACATGCCATAGAACCTCACCCAGTGATTTCTGCATCCAGCCCATAACTCCAGTTTGAGTTAGAGAAGATGTCCAATCTTGATTTAAAGACAGAAGTGATGGAAAACTCACTATATCTCTAGGTCAGATGGTCCAATAAATCACCAAAAAGAAAAGGAGTACTTGTGGCACCTTAGAGACTAACCAATTTATTTGAGCATGAGCTTTCGCTCACGAAAGCTCATGCTCAAATAAATTGGTTAGTCTCTAAGGTGCCACAAGTACTCCTTTTCTTTTTGCGAATACAGACTAACATGGCTGTTACTCTGAAACCAATAAATTACCCTCACTGTTGAAAATTTGCACCTTTTTTCTAGTCTGAATTTGTCTAGCTTCAGCTTCCAGCCATTGGATATTGTTATGCCTTTGCGAACTTAAAGAGCCAGCCAACAAATCTCTTCCCTGTGTAGGTATAATTTTATTATACACGCACTTCTCTATCTAACCCAGCACCCATCATTATATGTGAGATTCCTTTGCCGCTAGAGCCCCGGAGGGCAGCTGCCATCTGTGTGCGTAGGATAGACATCAAGATGAAGTTTTATATGTAAAACACTTTGAGATCGACTGATAAAAGCACTCTATAAGAGCTGGTTATTATTATTCCACAGTGCAGATTTGCTGGTGTTTATCAACTTTTGTTCAAGCATCTCACTGGCAGACTGAAACACAGTCTATGGACTGCAAACATTCATGAAAACCAATTCAAGAGCTACGTTGCAAGACAAGGAACTGGGTTTCATTTTCAATCATACTTGTGTATTTCTGGAATTTGCACCATTGATTTTTCTCTTGATTTGCACCAGTGTAACTAAGAGCACAATTTATCCTAAGGCACCTAGGTTGCACTCACACAGTGATAGGCTACATGCAAAATTGGGGCTTGTGGACAAACATAGCCCTGGTGCATGATGTTCCCATTTTGCACATGTCTAGTGTGTGCTTTGGCAGTGAAGGGTAGGCACTTAGACTGGAATTTTCAGAAGGGCTCAGCCCCCATAATTGGGGCCATATTTTCAGAAGACCTGAGTATCCAACTTGCACCCCTGGACACTTTGGAGACTCTGGGTCTAAGTGTCACAATGGAATCTGAACGTGTCTGAAAATCTGATCCTTAATCAGGTGCCCAAGTGGGAGCCAAGCTGAAAATCTGGCCCCACATTTTGAAAATGTGATACAAAGGTGCTGGAATTGGGTGATAGAATGAGGAAATGCCTGGTACAGGCATCTCTACCTTGTAGCTAGACACGTGGATCCCCCCATCTATGTTCTTGTGGCTCATTCTTAGACCTAGCAGGAAATCAGCTCTGAATACCTTTGCAGGTTGCTCTTTATTTACAAGGGCAATGGACTGGTGTTCTGACATCTTGCTTCCTTAGAGAGCTTGTCACTGCCATCAGCTGGTCAATAAATGTTGCTCACCTGTAAAACTTCACAGGGCAACTTAACCTTTCTGTGTATTCTGCACTGGATGGGAGTGACTCACATAAGTGGCAATTTGTTATGACTTCAGGGTATTAGGAAATTGCCTTATTTATTGCTCAGAATCTAAACTCCACATTTCATTGTGGGTCGCATGAACCTTTCACTCAACCCAAACTGAAACTATTTTCAGTTCACTAAAAAAATTATTTTCAGGTTGACGCAAAATGAGGGGTTCCCTTTTTGTCATGGTTTTCAGAACTGCCAGCAAGCCGAAGTGTTCATTATTCGCCCTGCTCCAGTCATGTGCTCTAGGCTCCCAGCTCGACTGAGATCTAACTGTGGAATTGGCGAGTGCCCCACCCCTGGGATCACGTAAAGCTGGTCTGGGTGTATCCTCACAGGGAGCAATCCCGCTCTGCTTCCCATCAGATGGACACAGAGCAACCTAATAGATTTTTCCCCATCTTTAGTTCTAAGAGATTAATATTTTCCTGGTGTGGCCCTGGGGTTTGCTCAGCCAGAAGAATGGGCAGCCCCAGAGCCCTGATTCCGGGTGTGCTGTTAGTCTAGCTGGTACCCGACCTCAGGAAACATGGGTGGCACTTTTCCAAGGAGCTAGGTGCAGTGTATTCACACACCTGATCTGCTCCAGCCACAAGGTAGACAGTGTCCTCATGGCCTCAGGTCACTCATCCTCATCAAAGATGCCTGCACTTGCAGTCTCGCCTCAGGCATCCTGACTTCAAAGTTAAAACAAACTCCCCATGCCCAAGCCTCTGGAGGACTTGAGTGGAGTCGGATTTCACCCTTTGTGTCCCCTCCCCGTAATAAGTGAGGCCTGCCATTTTGTTGCTCAGCGCTCAGGAGGCTTGCTAATTCACAATGTACTCTAGGAAGCTTCTGTTTCCACACAGCTTTTCTCCCAGAAGGATCCCAGCATGCACTGCAAGCTTTTACCAACAACATGGTCTGTAGCAATCACTTTGGCCACCCCTGAAATGCACCCATCTCTGGTATGGGACACAACCACATTTAACAGCCAGCAGCAACAATACAGACCAGGGGGTGAGAGGAAAAGTGGTTTGCATCTGTCATAAATATAAAGGGAAGGGTAAACCCCTTTAAAATCCCTCCTGGCCAGAGGAAAAATCCTCTCACCTGTAAAGGGTTAAGAAGCTAAAGGTAACCTTGCTGGCACCTGACCAAAATGACCAATGAGGAGACAAGATACTTTCAAAAGCTGGGAGGAGGGAGAGAAACAAAGGGTCTGTGTCTCTCTGTATGCTGCTTTTGCTGGGGATAGACCAGGAATGGAGTCTTAGAACTTTAGTAAGTAATCTAGCTAGGTATGTGTTAGATTATGATTTCTTTAAATGGCTGAGAAAAGAACTGTGCTGAATAGAATGACTATTCCTGTCTGTGTGTCCTTTTTGTAACTTAAGGTTTTGCCTAGAGGGATTCTCTATGTTTTGAATCTAATTACCCTGTAAGGTATCTACCATCCTGATTTTACAGAGGTGATTTCTTTACTTCTATTAAAAGTCTTCTTCTAAGAAAACTGAATGCTTTTTCATTGTTCTCAGATCCAAGGGTTTGGGTCTGTGGTCACCTGTGCAAATTGGTGAGGATTTTTACCAAACCTTCCCAAGGAAGTGGGGTGCAAGGGTTGGGAGGATTTTGGGGGGAAAGACGTGTCCAAACTACGTTTCCCAGTAAACCCAGTTAGAGTTTGGTGGTGGCAGTGGAGATCCAGGGACAAAGGATAAAATTAATTTGTACCTTGGGGAAGTTTTAACCTAAGCTGGTGAAAGTAAGTTTAGGAGGTTTTCATGCAGGTCCCCACATCTGTACCCTAGAGTTCATTGTGGGGGAGGAACCTTGACAGCATCCAATCGAAATCTCCAGAGGGAATGTTTACGGGGCACAGCATAATTACCCACCTGCCTGCAAGCCATTGGGACGAATGCTCCTGTGGCTACCATAGATTCCCCTCTCACTGCCAGAGCAGGGGTCTCCCACCTCTCACGTATGCTCTCTAACCACAGGGCTAAAAGTTATAAAGATGGGCACCTCGCCACCAATTCCTTGCTAAAATGGCATCAGGCACTCACTCTAAAGAGGGTCCCTGACTTCACAGCTAGGTTCCTCCCTGCAGCCTGGCATCAGGTGCCAAGCTCTGAGAGCGGGGTAAGATTTAGCATCTCCCACTGGCTATCTCCACACCTAGTGGGCTGGCTTTTGTGAACTGCACTCTGATGTGCCTGTCTGTCCCCATCCATTGGATAGGAGTTTAGGTGACTAAATCAGGTCTTGAGAATCAGCTCTTTTTCCAGGTGCCTAAAAGTTAGGCATTGTGATCCTGAGTGTCATGACCCCTAACTCCTTCTGAGCGTTCAGCGCTTAATTATCTGCTTTAAAACCAAGCCAACCAGATCAGCTATCACTTTGTCTATTTCCTCCCTGGGGCAATTTTGTTGTGGTTCTGGAATCACTCTCTTTTTTTATCAACTCCTTTTCCCGTTTCCGTGAGGTCAGAGAGGCTCAGGATTCTTCACTGCTCCTTCCAGCCTTTTCTCTCCAACTTTCTCTTGATGGAGTCTTTGCAGCATATCCTCAGTCTTCCACATCCTGTCTTGCTGTCCTTTTCCTCCTCTGCTTTCTGGGCTGGTTGTTCTTCTCCCATTCTTCTCACTTGTCCAGCCCACATCAAACATGCGCTTTCCAGCCTATCTAGCACTGAGCACCCCAACTTCATCTTTCCCCTAATTCTTTCCATGCACACTGACTACCCTCCGCTCACCTGCCATTCTCCTCAGTATA